ACCCATACCAACATGGACCAAAATTTGTTCACAGTGATTGCTGGAATGCATCTTATATATATATATATATATATATATAAGCTATATATATATATAGCAAGCAGTACTCATATATATACATATATATATATATATATGAGTACTGCTTGCTACGATCAAACTAAATTTAGTATACACTATGGCTGACAGCGGTTTTGTCAGAATCACACTTAAGTCATACTAGTGACCGTCAAACTCTATTACAAGCTAACATCCTGACTGCTAGCTCAAGAAGCGAACTCTGGATTATCAGTTTTAATAAACCAACTGTGTCGTTGAAAAAAAAAAAAAAAAAAGGAGGGATGCTCGCTTCGTTTGCTGAAAACACAAAAGTATTAGTCAGGAGAGCAGATTTCAATACTGTCTTCAAAATGAATGGGAATGAGGATATTACCACCCCGTCTGAGACAACTCTGTGATAGATTATCATCTAACTGCCCAGGAGGAAAAGTCTGCCAATTATCACAGCATTAAAAACGTACATCGTATCTGATCGGGATGAAGTCGTAGGTGCTTGTGGAGCAAATGACATTTCCAGTTTCATTGGTTGTCACCCAACAATTTGTTATATTGCATCTCTTGGAGAGTAAGTAGTCCGGGTAGTGCTTCTCACAAACATCCTTCACCGTTGGTTTCCGGTCTAAAAACAGTGATGAAAATGAATTCCACACAACCAGCAGCAGCAGCACCTTGAAACTGACAGAATCGTTGTGTACTGGGGGTGCCAGAAATACCCAGAAGCTTACGAAAAAAACGACTACCAAGAAAGCTGGAGTACTTCAGTGCGCTGAGTTGTGATACTGCTGGGATGAAAGTATGTGCCACGCGTAGCTATTCGTGTCCTGGAATTTCCCGGGCAATGCTTTGGCATTAGCCAAAAAATTTGCTGATAGCAAAAATGCGAAGCAACCAATGCTAGCTAGGCCTGATTGGGAAAGAATGGAGCGGGGAGTTTTACCGCAAATTTCGCGCCCAAGAATTTCGATCAGATGCCTTCCGAGGAGTGTACTTTGCAAGAAAAAGCGGCAGATGACTGACCAGCGAAAGTCATGAAGAGTATATTGGAGACCTGTATGAGTACCAGTATGAAGTAGACCAGCGTCAGGTAGCATACATATTTGCCACATACTGTTATGTCGGAAACAGTGAATTCCAAAGCATTACTGCCTTCTTCCACGGATGTTGGTTTGGTCAAGACCTCATCTGTCGACTTCGATGACATCCTTCAAGTTGCACTCCCTCATTTTAGTTGTTCCGGTAATTATTGAAGGAATAATTGTTAGCTTTTTGCTTACTATCTGCAGGTATCATTTCGAGAATGTCGATGCACCGGATGTCTCTGTTCGAAACAAT